GTTCTCAATGGGGAATAGGGTCCCTACCCTTCCCGCTCTGAGCCTGAGTTCAAGTCCCAGCTCTGCCAATTACCGGTTGCCTGAACCCGAGAAGGTGACCTGGCTTTGCTCGGCCACGGTGTCCTCCGCTCCGAGCATTGTGAGGGCGATAAATAAAGCCAGCTTGTCGTGAGCTGCTCTGCAAGGTCCACTCCACATCCTCTCTTCAAGAGAGGCTCTCCGGAGGTGTAAATTTTGGGGTCTAGAAGATCAGGCTGCGCCGTTTATTGACCGAGGAGCCCAGGTTGGTTGGCTTCTACTGCCTGGCCCTCAGTTTCCTGCCTGTAAAATGGGGATAAATTATCCCTACCTATACCCAGGGCCGTTGTGAAAAACCTACTCTGCAAACTGTAAAACGCAGTCCGCGGGGATAATAACCAACCGGATGCTGGTCCCAAGCAAGGCCCCAGCCCCTAACCCAAGACAGATCCCCCAGACCACCACCCTGAGAGCGAGTGGCAGTCCCTCCCCAGCCTCTCCCCGAGCTCCTTTAGCCTTTTTCGGGCTTAGACTAGACTAGAGCGCGGTGGGTCTCGCGGCTGTGGCACAGGGAGCGGGGAACTGTCCTCTGCTTGGTGCTGAACGGGCCGCAGAAGACACCCTGCACGCCCCCTGGTGAGGTTTCCATGGGTCCCGCGGTCTGGCTAGCCGGCACAGCCTAGAGGTTGGCCCCCACAGTTCACTAGAAACAGGACATGCAGGCCTGGCTCAGGGAAACCCTGTCCATTCGCTTTCCACTCCCACTCTCCACCCTGAGGGCCTCCTGGCTCCGCGATCGTTGTCACCACCAAACCGAATTCTGAGATGCCTTTTCAAATCATTAGGAGACGAAGAATAATTACCGAACGGGATTGTAATTACGAGGTTGGGGAGCCTGGGCCAAGAGGAGGGTGGGGGCTGAGGGCGGCTCTAGCACTGGGATGGAAAATAGGTTCCTGTTTTCCTCGGAGGGGAGGAGGAACAGAGAGCAGCAGAATTAGAACCGGACAGAGACAGTGCCTGGGAAAGGAGCGTGAATGGAGGGGCAGGAGGCAAGAGAGAGAAAGAGGGGCTGAGCAGGCTCCAGGACTCATCCGGGAGAAAAGAGGGAGAGACACCAGAGAGAACAAACACTGAGGGAGGTGAGAGAGAAAGAACCCATCTAGAAAAGATCCCACTGAAGAGACAGAGTCCCCAAACTCAGGGGTAGTTTTTGGGACCTTGGTGAGCACACCAACCAGGGTCCAAAAAGGAAGAAAACGAGTCCCCAGGCTGGGCCTGGCCACCCACTCTCCGAGGGCTAGGCCAGAGCGATCCGCTCGAGCCTCTGGATCCTTTCCTGGGGTCCTTGCAAGCTAGGGAAGAAGAGAAAGGAGAAAGGGGAGAAGTGGAGAAGAAGGGGAGACAGAGGCCAGGCGAGCCCCAGAGGAGCCAGAACGCAGGAAGGGAAAGAGCCAGTAACCTCGAGCTAGAGAGGGCAGGAGCAGGGGCGACACAGCGCCTCTGGCCGCGGAAGATTTATGGCGCCGCCCAGGTTCCAAGGACAGGCTGCGCTCGCCGCTGCTGCCACCACCGGTAGCCGCTGAAGCCGCTGCGCCCCTTGCCTGGGCGGCCCGCCGCGCCCGGGGCTATCCCTGCCATTATTAACTTCTGTTTGATTAGGGTAATTGTTCAAACTTGGGCTGGACAGTATGATTAATTACAGTTTAATTAACGTGTCCATTAAGGACACTTAATGCACGGGAGGGGAGAGCGGCCAAGGGGGCGCCCGGGTGCGGGCAAGGAAGGAGGGTGTGCGATTGGTAACTCAAACGAAGTAGATATCGTGATTGAAAGAGAGAAAGAGAAGATGGGGACCCAAGGGTTAGTTGGGGGTAGGGAAGAGAATGGTTAAGACAGAGAGAGAGAAGAGGAGATAGGTAAGGGGGGAGAGAAATGGAACTTTGGGGGAAGAGAAGGTCCCAAGGGGCGTTTGCAGGGCCAAAGGAGTGGACCTCCACCAAGAGGAAACTGAGTTAGCAGCGTTGAAAGACTAGGCGTTGACTCCAGATCTCTTCCAGCAAGGATTCGGCCCCAGAAGGAGGCGGAGTGGCAAGGGAGGTATCCAAGGCCAGGGGCCCTGGGACGCAGAACCCTCTCTCCCGACCAGAGCTCTCTTGACGCCCCCTCCCTCCAAGTCAGGAGCAGTAGGGTAGATGGTTTTGCCCCTTTCAAGCTACCATCCCCGGTGTCCCGCATTCTGGACACTCTTCTGGCCTCTGGTGACCCTACCGGCTCCCCAGGGTCACTCTTCGCTCCACCGCCCTGGCCCATTCCTGCTGTTCCAAAACGTGCTGCCTCTCTCTCCACGTGCCACTTCCTCTTGCGGCCCCTGAGCCGGCCCTGACCCAGCCCGCTCCTGGATCCTCAGCGAGGAGGCAGAGCCCTCTCCATTTCGTTCCTAGGGTCAAACTTTGTGTCTCCCGGCCCTTCCCCCTTTCTGGCCCCTCGGGCGGGCGCGGGCCGCAGGTGCAGGACGCAGGGCGCAGGTGTGCAGCCGCTTACCTGGGGCGGGCAGGCCTGAGGGCTGCGGAGAGGCAGCGGGTGCGGCGCGTGGTCCGCGGGCGGGCGGACCAGGGGAGGGTGCGAGTGACTGCACGGGCGGTGGGTGTGGCGCCCCGGCTCGCAGCTGTCAGGCGCGCCCGCCCCGCGCCTGCCTTGCCTCTCGAGCTGTGACCGCGCGGTGCCCGCCGCTGAGCCATGCGCTCCAGGCTTCGGCCGCTTCTCTGGGCCGGTCCCGGGCCTCGGAGGCAGCGGCGCAGATCGCACATTTCTTCGCCCGGAACCCTGGCACCCGGCGCCTGCTGATAGCGGGCGCCTTGCGGGAGGGGCCGGCGGAGCCGCGGTGTGAGCGCGGGGAGCCCGGGAGCGCGGCTGTGCGCGCGCGCGGGGAGGGGCCGCGCCGTCACCCGGAGAGCCCGGCGGATCCCGGACTCCCCGCCCGCCGCTCAGCCCGCCGCGCACCTCGGCTCGCTCGGCTCCAGCCGCCGCACGGTAAGTACCCGCGGGCTGCCGCCCGCCGCCCCCGCCCCCGGCTCTTTTTTTCGTTTAGTTCGGATTTGGGTTCTTGTGACTGTTGTTTTTATTATCATACCTAACGAGTCCACAGCCTCGCTTCCGCCGCTGCTCGCTTCGCGCCTCATCGCCCACCCCCAAGCTCACCCCTTAAGCCCCAGGAGCAGAACAGGGTTCCCCGAGCCGGCCCTGGCGGCTGCTCCTTGTCGCTGCGTACGGCCCCTCTCCCAGGCTTTCCGCTCTGGCCCCCGAAATTCTGTTCCTCTTCCAGGGCCCCTCTACTCCTGTCACTGGGGCCCAGAGCCCCCTCGTCCCACTCAGGAAAACCCCGCGAAGACTCCGGGCCCTCAGCTTGGGGATGACGCGTTTGGCTCCGGGCTCTCTCTTCACTGCAAGCGGGCCGGGCACACTCGACAATTTCGGGAAACCCGGAAGCCAGCGTCTTTTCCAGAGGCGCGCGCTCCAGGCCACCTCCCCAGCCCGCTTGACAGTCCCTCAGAGGGGCACGGGGCTTCTTATGCTGACCCCTCAGCAAAGGAGTTGAGACAGAGGTTTTGCCTTCTAAAATGTTACGAGGGACTTCAACGTGAAGGGAAGGTCAACTTGTTTCATTCGATTCGTAGAGATAAAGATGAAACAGACAGATAACAGATAAATAGCTTGATACTTGAAGGTATCAAGACAGATGGGAGAAAGAGGAGTGAGTTGGGAGTGACAGATAGCTCAGGGACAGATAAGATCGACAGATGAGGGGCATCTAGACAAATGGAGAGAAGGGAGACAGACAGAAGATCCCAGTCTCCTCCCTGAAGGCTTTTGAACTAGCATCTCCTGTCTGGCTGGAGCTGCCCTCTGAAAATGGCTTGGCTTCTCTGGTCGAGTTTAGGCGATGGGGCCCCCAGAGTTGAGCTACCCAGGCTGCAGGAGGACTTGGAGCCATGGGTCAAGTCAGAGACTTCAGTGTCTGAGGACACGTGGCTGGGCCAGGAGACCTAGAGGGCCCCAAGCATCAGTCCCTAGTTCCACCCACCCACCCAGCCCTTCGCTGTGGGTGCAGCTGCCTCTGTGCCTCTGCCAGGGAGCAAAGCAAGGGACTGACAACTTTTGTGCCTGGAGCCTTGCAGTGGGTTCAGAGACCAGGTGGAATTCCTCCAGCCCGTGTGAGCCAGGACAACAGGGCACGGAGGACAGTCGGAGTGGAGATGCCCCCCAAACGAGGAAGCCCAGAGCCCCTGGAACCTGCACTCGGGCATATCTGAAGGAGAAAACTCAGGGATTGGACCATTGGAAGTGAAGGAGAAGCAGTTCCAGAGAAACTTCCTTAAGAACCTCTTCGTCCCACGAGCAGAACACCCCCCCCCCCCATGGAAACCAGCTATGATCTGGAATGTGGCTAATAATTCAGAAAATGTCGTTAGGAACTGCGTGACCCTGGTCCACTGATAGCTGGGGGGAAAATGGTTTATATTCCCAGCTGGAATCTTTCTGCTCAACGAATGCGGGACGCCAGGCATGGCAGGAGAGACTCGGGTTTGTAGAAACCGGAGCTGTTGTCCAGGGGAACAGGTTAGGCAGTGAGCTGGGTGCGGTGGGGGCCGCTCTGGAGCTGGGCGCGCACAGCGTGCTTTGGAAGAGTTGGGTTCAGCACCTCGAACAGCAGTCGCCTCCGACAAACAACCACCACCCCGCAAGGCCTCGGATCCCTCCCTTCATTCCCCCTCCCCTCTGACTGGAGATGGGCAGTGACTGCCCCTCCCCCGCCTCCCAACCCCTCCCCTCTCTGCCCCCGTCCGCCCGCGTGCTTGCGCGACTGAGCAGAGGGGCCGCTGGTCCCCGAAGTCCGGACTTCAGGACCCTGGCCGGCAGGACGCGCTGCGAGGTTGACCGAAAGTACAGGGATCTGGGCGCCAGGAAGCCTGAATTCGGCAATGGCTTTGCTGTGTGGCCTTGGGCAAGTCACTCTCAGTCTCTGGGCACCACTTCCTCCCCAATCTGTAAATGAGATTGGGTTCCTAACAGCTTGGGCATTCCCAGAATCTTCATTACTCCTTCTCCTTCCCCAAACCCCAGGGGCTTTTGTTCTGGCGCCAGCACGTGTTTGAATAACAAAAGGCGCCCGTCCAGGGGGGCGAATGAGCTTGGACTCCCCGTTGCCAAGTTTCCCCCGCGCGCCGGACTCTGCGCGCCCCGCTGGGCGGGCCTGAGCTACTGCGGCGACGGCAGCGGCGCTGAAAATGGCTCATCTGCTCTCTGCTTTCTCTGTTTCGCAGGAGCGGCGGCATGGAGGCTCTTACTACTCAGCTGGGGCCGGGGCGCGAGGGCAGCTCCTCGCCCAACTCCAAGCAGGAGCTGCAGCCCTACTCGGGTTCCAGCGCTCTCAAACCCAACCAGGTGGGCGAGACGTCGCTGTATGGGGTGCCCATCGTGTCGCTGGTCATCGACGGCCAGGAGCGCCTGTGCCTGGCCCAGATCTCCAATACCCTTCTCAAGAACTACAGCTATAATGAGATCCACAACCGCCGCGTGGCACTGGGCATCACGTGCGTGCAGTGTACGCCAGTGCAGCTGGAGATTCTGCGTCGGGCAGGGGCCATGCCAATCTCCTCGCGCCGCTGCGGCATGATCACCAAGCGAGAGGCCGAACGCTTGTGCAAGTCGTTCCTGGGCGAGCACAAGCCTCCCAAGCTGCCCGAGAACTTCGCCTTCGATGTGGTGCACGAGTGCGCATGGGGCTCGCGAGGCAGCTTCATCCCGGCGCGTTACAACAGCTCGCGTGCTAAGTGCATCAAGTGCGGTTACTGCAGCATGTACTTCTCACCCAACAAGTTCATCTTCCACTCTCATCGCACACCCGACGCCAAGTACACTCAGCCAGATGCCGCCAACTTCAACTCGTGGCGCCGTCACCTTAAACTCAGTGACAAGTCAGCCACGGACGAGCTGAGCCACGCATGGGAGGACGTCAAGGCCATGTTTAATGGCGGCACGCGCAAGCGGACCTTCTCGTTGCAGGGAGGCGGCGGGGGCGGGGGTGCTAATGGCGGGTCGGGTGGTCAGGGGAAGGGTGGTGCCGGCAATGGCGGAGCGGGTGGCCCTGGGTGTGGTGCAGAGATGGCCCCAGGCCCGCCACCCCATAAGAGTCTACGCTGTGGCGAAGATGAGGCGGCGGGGCCTCCAGGGCCTCCTCCCCCACACCAGCAGCGGGGCCTTGGCCTAGCTGCCGGAGCCGGTGGCCCCGCGGGTCCTGGAGGGCCTGGTGGTGGCGCAGGCGTACGTAGTTACCCGGTGATCCCGGTACCAAGCAAGGGCTTTGGCCTCCTACAAAAGTTGCCCCCGCCGCTTTTCCCTCATCCCTACGGCTTCCCCACGGCCTTTGGCCTCTGCCCCAAGAAGGACGACCCGGTGCTGGGCGCAGGCGAGCCTAAGGGCGGCCCAGGCACAGGGAGCAGCGGGGCCGCTGGCACTGGCGGTGGCGCGGGCGGCCCGGGAGCGGGCCACTTGCCCCCCGGGGCGGGGGCAGGCCCGGGCGGCGGCGCCATGTTCTGGGGGCACCAGCCCTCCGGGGCAGCCAAGGACGCAGCGGCTGTCGCCGCTGCAGCTGCAGCCGCCACTGTGTACCCGACGTTTCCTATGTTCTGGCCGGCAGCAGGCAGCCTCCCGGTGCCACCCTATCCTGCTGCGCAAAGCCAGGCTAAGGCTGTGGCGGCCGCAGTAGCGGCGGCAGCGGCAGCTGCTGCGGCGGCTGCGGGCGGCGGCGGCACGGAGCCCCTGGACGGCACAGAGCCGGCCAAAGAGGGCGGCCTGGGCGCGGAGGAACGCTGCCCGAGCGCACTGTCCCGCGGTCCGCTGGACGAGGACGGCGCTGACGAGGCGCTCCCACCGCCTTTGGCCCCGCCGCCGCCGCCACCTGCGCGCAAAGGTTCCTACGTATCGGCCTTCCGGCCAGTGGTCAAGGACGCCGAGAGCATCGCCAAGCTCTATGGCAGCGCCCGCGACGCGTATGGTGCAGGGCCAGCTCGCGGGCCGGGGCCGGGAGCGGGGGCCGGCGGCGGCTATGTGAGTCCGGACTTTCTGAGCGAGGGCAGCTCTAGTTACCACTCTGCCTCGCCCGACGTGGACACGGCCGAGGAGCCTGAGGTGGACGTGGAGTCCAATCGCTTCCCGGACGACGAAGGGCCCCAGGACGAAGCTGAGCCCGGCGCGCCCAGCACTGGAGGCTGCCCGGACGGCGACCCACCCACTGGGCCCCCTTCTGCCACCTCCTCCGGCGTTGATGGCTCGGCAGACTCTCCCGATGGCGGTAGCCCCCGTCCGAGGCGCCGCCCTGGGCCACCCACCACCGGCAGGCCCGCTTTCGGGGACCCGGCGGCGGACGACGTGGTGCGGAGACCTGAGAGGAGCCCTCCGAGCGGCGGCTTCGAGCTGCGAGAGCCATGCGTGGCGCTAGGGGGCCCCGCGCCGACCAAGGTGAGCCCAGCGCCCGCCCCGCCGGGGGCACGTCCGCATTTTCGCTCCGCGCCGCGGGGATGCAGGCCAGGCCCAAGTGGGGTAGGGAATTTTGTTTTGCGCGGGCGTTCGAGCCTCTGGCTCCGGCTGCTGCAAGCAGGCCTGGTCTCGGGCGTCCTGTGCAGCTGGGCTTGCTGGAACCCCCAACTGAGGGTTTCGGATGACCCGGGGAGCTCCCTGAGGGACGCATGTAGGGTGTTTTTGTTGATGAGATGGGGAGGAGACAGCCAGAGGCCTCCAGACAAACAGATACAGAAAGAGAGAAGTAAGCGGAAGGAAGAAAGAGGGTGAGAGAAAAGGACCCAGAGGCAGAGAAAAGCTCTGTGAAGCCAGGCCGGAGCGCAGAGAGTGTCAGGGCCGTGGGGATGACTAGTGGGTAAGGCGAGGAGAGGGCGACCTCTCCCCAAGCCGGGCCTGAACAGTGCGGGAACCTAGAACTACTCCCCAACCCCCATCCTCAACTTGCAGCTCTCCCAGTGTTACCCGACTCCAGTCTTGGGAAACGCAGGTTCGTTGGTGGGAAGCTACGGAGACGGTGTGCAGGGCGGGAGTGCTGGCACAGTCCTGATGGTGGGGAGGCAAAGAGAGGGGGTGTCTCAGGTTAACAGGGGAGCATCTTGTGGAGAGTGCAGCTAGGTAGGAATCGTTGGCTAATGAAAGTGGGTAAGTACACCTGTATATTTACATTTGGTCAATTAAAATACGAATAATTAACGGGATGCGAAAGGCGGCATTCATGCCAGGGACCCTGAGCGGGCGCGGGCGTAATGGAAAAGGCCGAGAAGGAGGCGGGGCAGAGGGTGCTGGCGTCTTGGAGCTGCTTTGACTTGGGAGCTGCTTTGTGCTGTGGGTTATTTTCTCGCAAGCGCTAATAATAACCCTGAATCTGTAACACTGAGGCTGACTCCGAGGGCTCAAGGCAGCGTCGCGTGCGTCACGGCCGCCCTGGGCGCTCGGGTCCTTCGGGCGCACCACGTTTCACCACCCCTTCGGGGTTCCTCCCGGCAGTGGCGCACGGCTGGGCGGCGTCGGGACGCCTCGAAGCGTTCCCCTAACCGCCTGTCCTTTCTCGGCCGCCGCCGCAGGTGTACGCGACCGAGCGGGACCAGCACGTGAAGAGCGCAGCGCCAGCGCTGGGGCCCGCGGCCTCCTACCTCTGCACCCCTGAGGCCCACGGTAATGCCCCCAGTCCCGTGCCAAGGCCGCTGGCCAGTGTGAACGAACCACAGGACGAGGGCAGGAGGCAGGGGAGGCCTAGGAGGGAAGAAGAGGGGAGGGAGAAAAAGAGATGCAGGGAAAGGAAGAGAAAGGGAGAAGAAAAGAAAAATAATAAAAGAAAAGAGAAGCTAAGCGGGAACTCCTAACAACTTCCGTCGTTTGGTTACTTTAAAAAAAAAAAAAATCAAGCCCTCTCCACACATGCACAGGTACACACTTGTATACTGGGTTAAAACCTTCTTAAAAGCACGTCTGGCAGCCCTTTCAAGTCCTCCCATTTGTGGTTTCGGCCGCAAAAGTGCTCGGTGGCCAGGCCAGGCCCGGGTGGAGGATGAGGGGCGCGTGGCTGCGCTCTTGATTGGCATCTCCGAAGCGCAGCAGCAGAAGCTACTGCCCAGAGAGGGGGAGGGGATCCCTGCAGGTGCACGCGGGACGCCGCAGCCCGTAAAGGGTCTGGGGACCTGGGAAATCCCAGCGGGTCGAGAGACAGGCCAGCGCGGGAGGATGCCCCCCATCACCACCATTGCCCTCCGGTAGCTGCCTGGGTTGCATCCTTGGTGGAAGCCGCGCAGGCGAGCCAGCAGCCACGCGCGCTCGCGGTGCCCCAGTATCTGCTCACGATGTAGGTCGCTCGTCCCGGGTGGGCTGGCTTCTCATCTTGATCTTTCTGAGGGGCTGGGGGAGGAGGCGCGGATGCTTGAGATGAGCAGACCAGGCGGGAGGTGGGGGTGGGGGGAGAGGAGGCTGGCTGCCCGGCCCAAAGCCTGAGGATGCGGGTTCGGGCGCACAGCATGAGACCAACCGTGGCCACAACGCTTTTAATTAGGACTCAAGCGCCCGGACAGCGGCAGCTCTGGCCTATGCAGGCCACGGTTTTTTTTTTTTTTTTGCTTCTCCTTGAAACTCGGTTTATTGCCTTTAAGAGCCGGATAAGGAAGACAATCACTCGACCGCTGATGATTTGGAGACCAGGAAATCCTATCCAGACCAAAGGAGTATCTCCCAGCCAAGTCCTGCAAATACAGACCGAGGTGAGCCCCAGGATCCCTCGCATCCACGTCCACCCAGGAACCGGTGCCCAGGACGCCCAGGTTCCCAATGGCTTGCGTGGCAGGCTTTCAATCAACCCCTACTGCAGCAAGCAGATAAATAATTAAATAACGAGGTCGTGGTGCAGACCAGGTTTCCTGAGTTGCTGCCTCCTTGGTGGGTTCTGGGTTCTTCTGGTTAAGGAAATGGTGGTATTAAAAGGAGATGAGGTATACCCCCACCTTTATAAAACAGGTCAAAAGGGCACTTTCTGCCCTAAGACAGTCCAGAGTCTAGTTCACTGGCCCAGAACACTGGGTGAAAAGGTCATTTTTCTACACCCCTAAAATGATGGTTTGGCAGATGGATAGTGCTGGATTCCAGTAAGTGTTGCCTTTAAAGGCAGAGGGTATGGAGTGAGTCCCTGATTTGGCACAGTTGTGGGAAGCTCACCCTTCTCCTCCCAAGGCCTCTCCTATGAGGGAAATTCTCTTACCCACCCTTGTACCCCAGGTGAAGAGGGGCTCACCCTGGATGTCACGGGAACTCAGCTAGTGGAGAAGGATATCGAGAACCTGGCCAGAGGTGAGGTTAAGTCTATGAAATGGGGGTTACACTGTGCTTGAGACCCGGAGCTGGGCCCTTCATGTAGAGGGGGGTCTTATTCCTGTAGGGATTGAATGTGGCAAAGACATATTCTTGGAGGAAATCAGTTTTCATTGAGTGAAAAGCGTAACCCCCTGGACACATTAGCCCAGTGCAGAGGTATGAATGTGTGAGTAGGGGATATGGGGGAGTGAGCCAAATTCCCAGAGGTTGATTGAAAGTTTGGGTTGCAAGACTCCAGCCTATCTGAATAGCCCAGTGAGAAAGAAATAAGCCATGATTCTCAGACATGTGGACAACCAGACAGGACAATCAGGGTCCCTCAAATTCCCTGGAAAACATGACTTTTCCTTAACAGCAAGACTGCAGGTTGGTGGTGTTGTTATGTGCCATCAAGTTGGACCCAACTATTTAATGAATGCATGAGAGGTTAATTCTTTTCCCCTAATACTGATGCATAACACCCCCCCCCCACACACACACACACATACACACCATAAATAGTGTAGGGATGGAAACTTGTTTGTAGAATGGGATCATGGGGGTTGCTGCTCATCCTGAAATGGGGAGAGTGTGGCTTGAGGCATCTCCCATTCCTGTGTTTTTTCAAAGGAGCCTCCCCATCGGGAGGGTCCAGATACCAATGATGTCAATGTTCATAAGGGATATTGCTCTATAATTTTCTTTTTTAGTGGAGTTTTTGCTTGGCTTTGATGTCAAGAGTATGCTCGCTTCATAATATGACATTCCTTTTCTATATTCTGGAACAGTTTGAGTAGATACCAATAATCTCATGGTCAAGGCAGCTCCCTCCCAGCCCTTCAGAGCTGGTTTCTGAGGGCACAAATGGCCCCCTCTGCACCTACCTGCTCTTCCCACCCCCAGCCCAGGGGTGGACTTGGGAAATGGTGGAAGGAGGAGAGGAGGGGTCATTGATTATCTTCCACTCCCTCCTGTTAAAAAAATGACCTGGAGCCCATTACCTCCAAATTCATTGATGCTTTAGATAGGGTTCTTAGATTGGATTTGGGGGCCCAAGGCAAGCTCCTGTAAGTATATGTATTTTTCCAGGGAGGGGATCCAAAGATTTGACCAGATTCCCAAAGACATTGGGTACATCCCACTTTGTATTCTTGAAGAGAGAGTCTAGACCTTTCATTCAAAGGGGGAAATGTAGTCCTTCTGGACCAGCCTCTGAGATTAGGGAGTTAGGAAGAATTTAAAGCAAATGCCACCCTGGGGAAGGAACAGAGCCTGGAGCCAGAGCCTAGGAGTTCAGTGTGTGCTCCAAGATCCCGGATTAAATTCTCCCCATCAACCTACCCAGAAGCCTTGCTTCTTTCACAAATCCTTTGGATGTAAACAGGAAAGCCAGAGTGCTAAGGGTCTCTGTCCAGGAGTCCTAACTCTTTGCCTCTGGCTTCGGCTCTGGCTGGGCATGGGCGCTTCCTGAGCTCTTGGAGGCCCCATCACCTCTCCCCCCTTACCTCCCGCTCTCGCCCCTTCACAGAGGAATTGCAGAAACTCCTTCTGGAGCAAATGGAGCTCCGCAAGAAGCTGGAGCGGGAATTTCAGAGTCTCAAAGGTATCCTCGTCCAGCCCCACCCAACCTCACATCACCGCGCGGGCCTCTTCCGGCCCCGGGCCCGAGCATTGGCAGTTAGCTCTGTGCGCCCCAGCAAAAACCTCCGAACTCTCCTTTTCAGGGTTTCCAGGGAGTCCAACGGGGAGGGGGTGGGTAGAAGGGAAGTGGGGCTGGGGGAGGGGGCTGTGTGTAACAGCTCTCACTTAATCAATTTGCACAGATAATTTTCAGGATCAAATGAAGAGGGAATTGGCTTATCGAGAAGAAATGGTGCAACAGCTGCAAATTGTCAGAGGTAAGACGGGAGTCAGGTGAGCGCGTGCACGGGCCGTAACTGCCTCTCGTCTGGCAGGAGCCGCAATGTTGGCTCAGTCATTTGGATTTAAATTGAAGGTAATTTAACAATTATTTTTTTTATTTAATATCCTTTGTATACTCTGATTAGCCTCAGAATGGCAAGCGAGCCCAGCAAACGGCTTGCAGGCATCATTACATGGAGTGATTGAACTTCTTATCGCGGCAATTTCCATGGTTTCTAAATTAAAAATCGAGGCGTAAAATTACCTGGGAAGTAATGCCTAAGTTTGCTTTAATTTTGGTTAGATCCGTCTGCCTTTAAGCGCCATCTCAGGCCATTTCCCCCCTCCACCAGGCTGCAGTTTGGAGCTTGGTCGTCTTCCCCTACTCCCCTCCCGCCCCCAACTTTGTGTGAGGCTGAGGCCTAGGAAAGGGCGAGGCCGGAACTGTGACCCTGGCCGGACTGCGGCCTGTGTTTCCTCACCGACCCCTCCCCATGTCTTCCAGACACCCTATGTAATGAACTCGACCAGGAGCGGAAGGCGCGCTACGCCATCCAGCAGAAATTAAAAGGTGCGGAGTCCGGGAAACAAAGATAAGAGAGGTGATAGGTGTTGGCCTTGCGAGTGAATGAATCAATGAATGAATGAGTGAATCAATGAATAGCGGGACTAGTGAGAGGGGAAGACCAGGGTCTACATCGATCATAAGTTACGAGGAGGTAAGTGGGAATTGATTTTAATGGGGAAATAATTCTAGAACGATGGGGTAAGGAGAAAGAGTCCCTCGAGCTCTGGACACGGGGAAATTTACCTTTCGGTCCCATTCCTGGCCTTGGGCAGGTCGATCCCTCTCGCTGGGCCTCAGTTTCCTCTTCTGTAAAGTGGGGCTATTGAAAAAGAGCAGTGGTTCTGCACAAGGGGAGAGTCAGACTCTTCTGCTCTGCTACCGCCTTCTGATCCTCGAGAACACTTGAGCTGGAAGAGAGTGTGCGAGGCGGACACAATGGGCAGAGGAAGAGGGCGGGGGGACACTGCGGCCGAGGCCCGCAAAGCGCGCAACGTGGTGGGTGCGGCTGTTTTCCCAGAAGCCCACGACGCCCTGCACCACTTCTCCTGCAAGATGCTGACGCCTCGCCACTGCACTGGCAACTGCTCCTTCAAGCCCCCGCTGTTGCCCTAGGGCCGACCAGGCCGCGCCCACGTGCCCTCAAGCCATGCTGCTCCCTTCTTGTAAATATCCGCGGCCGCGGAGGCCCTGAGCGAGGAACAAGCCATTCGGATCGGACCGCTGTAAATACGGCCTCCTGCCCGCCCACCCCCTTCCCGGTCGCCCTAGGCCAGGGTCCCGGCTTCGTTTCCAAGTGTAAATACTGCCTCACCCCAAGGTTGAACTCCAGGACATCGGACCTCAAGGGTTAACTGGACCGAAGTGGGGAGGAAAGGGCAAAGGGGGTTGTCTCCCCTCCGCTGTACAGTCTTGGACCTTGGAATTGTGAATACAATGTAGCAACTTTGCTGGCGCGGCCCCGCGCTCCCAGACCTGTCTGTCCACTTCTAAAACTCTTGTTCCTAATGACAAAGTGGCTATGTGCAATGGATATAAGTGTATTGTGAGTTTCTTGGTTCACTTTATTTATGCTTTAAGTTATTTTGCTTCCCCTCCTAGACCTACTTTCAGTCTTGTTTTGCATTTTCCTTTGGGTTTTGTTTTGTCCATTTTTTGTTGTAACTTCTTGATGTAACAGCACTTTAAAAGGGCGACAACCGACTCACGAGATGGCTAACACCTTAAGCCTGTTTGGGGAGACCATCCTGTATCTGTGAATTTTTTTTTTTTTTTTTTTTTAATAAAAAGAAACTGTCACTTCCTGGTCTGTGGAGGTGGGAGTGTTGCCCGGCGGGGAGGGGAAGGCTGAGGGCTGCGCCACAGGTGGGTGTTGGGCCCGAAGCTTGGGTTCTGGGGTCCTCCGGGCCAGCGCTGGGAATTGCGTTCGGTCATTTGGGGCCACAGAGAGGAACCTGGGCTCAGGGCAGACATCTGGACTGGGGTCTCCCTCCAACTCCAGCGGGCCCTGCTCCCTCCTCTCCTGGGATAAGTGGACGAGGAGGGGCTACTCGCGCCTGCTCAACTAGCCAGCAACGAACTCCCAACCGCTCCATCAGCACCTCCAGACACTCTCATTTTGCCCCAACAGCAACTCTCTCCTCGCCTTCAGCATAGGTACTCTCCCTTGGACCTTTTCCGTAGAGCTTATTCCCTTGGTCCTCTTCCATGGAGCTCTCACCAGGGCTTCATTTGTGCCCATTTCCACGCCTGCCCCATCGGGAGGTCACCCTCGGAGCCCTCAGATAGGCGCACTGTTACCTGCTAGCACGGAATCCAGGGTTAAACACAAAGTTGTCCCAAGCTTGCAGGATAGGAGGCGGCCTCACAGGCCTGGACAAGGAGGGCTAAGCCCCGCGCTTGTGCACAGCTGCTGCAAGGAAGGGAGTCCTGGTGGATTTTAATGTTCCGTCCATTTCAGTCCGACTGGGCTCACCGACGTGGAGGAACCCTGGGAGGAACTGAGGCTCGACGGCCGCGAGTGCCAGAGAGCCCCCCGAGGCCGGCCTAGGGCAGCGTCTGACGCCCTGGCGGCGGGGAGTGAGGCCTCGTCTTGCCTCCAGCTTCGCATCTGCCTCAGTTTCCCATAGCGAACTTGCTAGCTACAGATAACGGAAGTAATCTGGGAGGTGGTGGTGGTGGCCGATGGGCAGGAAGTGTGGATGAGCATCCTTGGGAGATTAGCGGAGATGCTGTGTGTTGTTAAGTGCGGTGGAGTCGGATCCGACTCATAGCGACCCCTCCTTGGGTTTCCGAGGCGCTATCTCTATGGAAGTAGATTGCCCCATCGTCCTTCGAGGAATGGTTGGTGGGTTTGAACCGCCAGGCTTCTGGTTAGCCTTAGGCACTGCGCCACCAGAGCACCCATGCTGTGTAGCGCCCTTTATTCTTTCTCGGCCTCGAACTCTGTCGCGGCTGCGCTAGGCAGCTCTGTAGGTGGGCAGAGCGCAGGGCAGCAGTCTGCGATCCGGACCAGCGCTTCCCAAAGTCCTGTCCCTCCTCACAGCCCGGGGTGTCAGGGGCAGACCTTAGAGGCAGACACTTTGGAGTTGGGCGTCAGAGAGCCGGAACTGTCGACTGGGCTGGGCGGGAAGTTTAGTGGCGTGTGGTCTGGAGGGTCCGGGGAAGAGCCGGCCGCTGTGAGCAAGGCATGCTAGCCGGGAGCCCATGTCAGCGCCCTCTGTGCTGGGGCTCGGAGCCCTCAAGCCCCGGGATATTCCGAAGGCTTGACCTGGAAAGACGAGGAGGGAGAGACTGGCGAGGTGGGCGCCAGGTAAACTGTGAGGCCTCACGCGAGTGATGCAATTGCCACAGGACGCGCGATCTCCGTGAGGGCCTTTTCATGGAGAGGGAAAGTTTCGTCTGCCACTGACTAACCAATAGCTCTCCACTGTACCAACCGGGAAACTGAGGTCCAGCAAGGAAGTGAGTTTAGTATTTAGTGCGTGCCAGGGGCCAGCAACTCTGCAACCGGGCCAGGCAGCCAGGTGATGGATGTGGTACCCCCCTCTTCCCCACGGGGTAACCGCATTTTTGAGACGCGCACTGCCCTTCTCTGTGAAACGGGAGTAACAGTTCCCACTCGGGCAGGAAGTCGCTGCGGCCCACACAGGGCAACCTAGCAAATGTTCATTTCCACCCTAACTTTCTGAATTCCCCATACAAAGTGGAGAAAAACACCACAGGCAGCCAGGGCCGGCCCAGGGCGCCCCATCTGGGCCAGGATCGCTGCAGATTGGGGAGTGGGTGGGCGGATCCGACCCAGAGAGCAAAAACCCTTTTGTGCTCCGGCGCCCCTTCAGAAGTGGTTTGTTCTCCCCAAAATGTTAATAACCAAACGATTGGTAGGGATGTAATTATCAATAATTATACGAATTATTGCTGATTGCGGGGCTCGTAGCTACTTTAATTAGTTTACCAGATTCTAATTAAGTTAAATGAAACATTAATACGGAAAATATGCTTTGAAAAAAAAAAAAAAAACCACAGGATTTTTAAAAAGTTTATTTCCCGCCACAACGTTGCCACCTTGCGACAGCTTTTAGGCATTGCAGCCGACGTTCGAAGGCCGCAGACAAGGGTGTGTCTTGGTTCTCTGCGAAAAGAAAGGGACTCGGGGGATTTGGAGGGACTGCGGGTCACAGAATGTCTCCAGGCTGTTCTCTAAGGGTGTCTTGTTGGGCGGCCCTAAGCCCTGGTGGTGCAGATAGAAGGTCTGGCCCTGATCCAGAACCCGGTCCGAGGTCCTGCGGTAGGGAATCAAGTCAACACGCCACTTTCACCTGAGGCTGCTTTTTCAGCAAAGTAACCCCGGAGTTCACACGGAGAAGTGCAGGAAGAAAAGCACTGGTCTCTGTGCTCACCTGTTCGGGCAAATCCAGGGTGAGGGGATGAGCGAAGTTGGAAATATTGGTGGAGACAGCATCAGGTTGCTTTATTTTTCACTCCTCTGGGAGAATCCAGTAAGTCGCTCCCCCCTCCATTTCCTCTGCAAATAGGAGGAAGAGACGTCTTTTATCGGCTAAAGACATCTTGAAGCACCCACCCCACCCCCATTGCCCGGACAGAGGTAACCTTCCCTCTTCCTGCGTTTTCATGGTACTTAGTTCAGGAGGCTAACAGGGCGCTCACCTCCGAGTTATCCTTGGTGGTATGTGTCTGTTTCTCACAGGAGTGTAAGTATCTCCACGACAGGGCACATCTTGCTCTTCCTGGGACCTCCCACACAGGGCCCAGCACATCACAGGTGCTCAACAAACGTCTAGAGGAATCGTTTCCAATGTTGTGGCTCGTCTGGGTTCTGGAAATGTCTCAGTGACGTAATTCCTAGGTGCTTCAGGACAACAAACAGATACTAAGAAGCAGTTGAGCTGATTTGCATAAGGTTAATTAAGCCAGGCTTATTGTTCAGAAGATCCTTCCCCAATAGGATTAGTTTTAGGGCTCAGGTGGCAAGTAAGTTATCTTCAATCTAAACTCACTGCCGTGGTGGAGTCGGATCCGACTCATAGCGACCCGACTTGGGTTTCTGAGGCGGTATCACTACGGAAGTAGACTGCCCAACTTTCCTTCTAAGGAGTGGCTGGTGGGTTTGAACTGCCAGCGTTCTGGTTAGCAGTCAAGTGCCTTAGGCACTGAAACCAGAGCTCCTTATCTTCAATCTAGAACAGGAACGTTTTCTTCTCATTCCAACTGACTCCCAAAGAGGGCGCTCTCTCACTCCCTCACATTTTGCAAGGTCACCCTGCCCATTCCGTGTGCAACCCTGCTCTGAAATATAACGACCTTTGGCAAAAATGCTATTCCCGCCGGTTGAGGTCAGAACACCCACAAGAGCAGAGTTGGACCTGCATACTCTTTTCATTAATCCTAAACAGCCTTATTTTCCTCTTCCTCCCTGTAGCTGAGGATTTGATTAGGAACACAAATTTTATAGCCAGAGTTCTTGGGTCTTAATCCCTACTCTGCCATTGACTAGCTGTGTAACACTGGCCAAGGTGTTGAATCTCTGTGCCTTAGCTTCCTCATCTATAATATGAGGAAGATAACAGTACCCACTTGACAGGAGTGTTTTGTGTACATAATGACTTAAAAGACATCTTGAAGAAGTTCCTGGCTGTAAGGAGTACAAATATGTTGGTGTTTCCTGATACAGCCTCAGAAACCCAAGGAGGGGTTGCTATGAGTTGGGTCCTACTCGATGGCAAACAACAAAAACAAGACTCTCTCTTGGTTCGTTCCAGCCCTGAGACTCAAGACAGGAATGCTTTAAGGAGGCCCTTAATGGGCTCTAGTCTGTGGCCCTCTGCTGTTCCTGGGGCCCAAGAAAGGGGACATACCAGTGCTTTTTCAGGCTTGGAGTTTTGAATTTTCTGAAGACTGGAAAAAATTTCTGAAGAATTTTCTGAAGTCTGGAGTGGAAAGGCGTCCTGGCAGTACCAACATTCTCATTGACTTTGCGTGTCCAAGGGGGCAGAGGGATATGTCCAAGTTCTCTCTCTCAGCAAGTTAGTGCAGAGCCAGCAAAGTCAGCCAGGTCTCTGGATTTTTTCAGGACTAGAAATTGCCAGTTTCTT